GCGTCACCCGCCATACACAGTGTCTGCTCTTTCTTTGGCCGACTGGAGCCTGAGGCCGCAGAACACCCCCGCCTTCCTGTATCCTAGATAGGACAGATTCTGAGGTGGGCTCATGGTGCCAACTGTCGAGAGACCTGGGAGGAAGGATGATGCTGGAAACACATGCAGGCAGAGCCCAGGGGGAGGCAACGTGACAGCCGACGTTATTATTCGTACAGTTTTTTTCTTCCTATGTGTCGTTCGTACCCCTCTTCCTCCTGCTTCCATCCTGCGTGGTCTGCTTTCATCTGCAGCAGCCACAAGTAAATCGGGCTTCTTGAACCACAAGAGTTTGGCAGTTTTAGTACATGTGAAGTTTTGTTGCCACAGCCCCTATAAGCGGTCAGCAAAGCGGAGTTAAATGCCTATATTTTGCCATGCATGTTAAAGGCCCCTGGAGCCACCAAGGGTAAGGGGACCCAAATGGAAGATGGAGGTACCAAGGAGAGGGAAACACTACCACGCAGCCGGGAGAAAAGAGGCTGGAGGAAGCGCCCGCTCAGTAAATAGAATAATCTCCGCAGCTTTTTAAACAACACGATGCGCGGAAGCACCTGTTCGCTGCAGGGCACAACAGGCAGCGGAAGCATGGGCTTTTCAGCCGTGTGTCTCTGACCTTTTGCCCCAAACGCAGAGCCCCGCAGACCAGGCTGCTTATTTCCAACCCCCCTCATATCACTGATTCCTGCTCCTCCTGGCTCCTTCCCTCCCAGCCTTTGCTGGTGCAATGCCTCTCGCCTGGTCCCCTCCAGTTCCGCTGTCATCTCTGGGTGACACCTTTCCTCGCAGGCAGGTTTTGGCGCCCTCCTCTGGACAACGCACAGCACCCCCGTCGGCCCTCGCCTTTTCCCTAAATCCCTGTGGTTTAATGATCAGCTTATGGATCTGCCACCCTCAGGGACAGTTTGGCGGGGAAGGGATGAGGGGAGTCATCCTCGGAGGCTCTTGAATGTTTGTGGAATGAGTAAATGAATGAGCGAGTACAGTGAACAGGAAATCACAAGCCCCGTACCTGCCTTAGATAGCTTACCAGCCTCCTTGGGCGTGGCTGAGGAGAGGAAGTGGTCAGAGAAGACCTGGTGATCACCTTGGAACTCCCGCTTCTCCTTTTAGCCTTCCTGTTGGAGTTAGTTACCTTTACAGGAAATCTTTTCCCCGATCTTCAGCCCCACCCAACTGCAATCATACTTTGACTCTGCCTTTCCTCAGCCTTTCTGAATTTAGTCGTACATATTGAGCAGTTCTTGTTTCAGTTTTATGTGCATAGGGTTTGCTCTTTCAGCTAGGTTGTACATGCCTTAAAATCCTAGGTTTTATTTCCTAGGAAGCATTTTAAAAGAATGGAGGAAAAAAAAATTTCTCCAAAGTAATTTTTGTTCTGGCTACCAACTAGTTGTAAGATCTTAGGGCAGAGCAGTTAGATATTCTCCTTCCATGGGTCTCAGTCTCCCATCTGTAAAGTTAGAGCACAGAATGTTTTCTCTCGTGACTCCAGTGCTCACACCCTATGATTCTGTGCTTCTGACCCCAGCACCTTGCTTATCCTTCCCAGGACCTGGGATAGGGTTCCATCCCCGCATCTGCCAGGTAATTGAACTTGTTCACCCACAGCCTAGGCCAGTTCGCCTCTCAGCTATTTGTCAGAGCTCCTGGGATCAGGGGCATTGGTGGAATAAGTGTGGGGCAGCCCAGTGGAGACCCCTGCGGCCCTTGACTTTGCCTCTGCAAAGTTCTAGGTACCCAGGACCCTCCCTCAGTCCTGCTCAGTCTCAGTTCCAGTTCTGTACCTTGATGTGTGCTGTTTCTTCCCTTTGAAAGTAAGGCGGTTTGGAGGTAGGGGCTGACATCCAGGGGTCTGAGAGGAAGGCTGGTGCTAAGATGCGTGTTCCCAGATGAGCCAAACCTCAGTCTGTAAGACCTTGCTTCACTGGCTCTCCCTGGGCAGTCTGGTTTGCCTCTCTGTTTTCCGAGTGCATTTCCCTCCTGTTGCACCCACAGCACTGCACTGGTTTTTTTTTTTTTTTAAAGAATTACATTAAATCCTTTATTGGGATCACAGCAGACAGAGGTAGTAGGGACTATTTATTTATTTATTTATTCTTTTCCTTTCTTCTCTTCTTTTCTCTTCTCTTCTCTTTTCCTTCCTTCCTTCCTTCCTTCCTTCCTTCCTTCTCCTTTCTTTTCTTTCCTTTCTTTTCTTTCCTTTCTTTTCTTTCTTCACCAGAAATTTGGATTTCTTGAAGGCCGGGAATGGCTTGTTTTCTGTTTGGGAGAGTTTTTTGGTTCTTATTTGTGTTCTCAGCCCTCTTCCCCAGCTCCAGCCTCGTATCTCTCTGTCCAGGGGTGTGTCCTGTCCCTTTGTTTCTTTTCCTATTTGTTCCATCAGTCAGCCAGACCCCCAAGATTGTAGAACTGATGGTGAGTAAAGAGCATTAGCAAAAGGAACCCAGCAGGAAGGTAGCGGGTTGACAAAGATCCCTGCTGGCTGTGAAACGGTGAGATTTTAAGGATTGTGGGTTTGGATTTGGGCCCCTCTTATGAGGAGATAACAAGAACACTGGGAAGGGAGGAAAGAAGGAATATTACAATGCCTAGTACATAAGTGGCACGGCCCAGACCCTGCCTGAATCCTTTGTGCAAGATTGATTAGATGATGGTGGAGAAGTTTGTTGATGATATGTGTGCCAGGAAGTAAGAATTGATGGGGAAAGAGGTCAAGGCTGCAAAAAGAGTAATTTAGTCTAGTTTTATCTTGGGCAAAGGTTAGGTTCTAAATCAGTATTGCTAAAAGATAAACTGAGACATTATCAATTATTTTATGAGTTTACTTGATCAAAAATCGATTCAAATCTGGCAGCACCAAAACGGAAGTGGTTAAGAGTGTTCCACCAACGGGAGCCAGGGGAAAGACTTATACAAACAAAGCAAGGAAACAAAGAAAGGAAATTATTTGATCAGCTATAGCTTAAAACCTAGTTGGCTGTTTGAGATTGATTGTCCTTAGGGTTTGATTTTTTTTAACCTTGAGATATTTACAAGCTTAGATTTTTTTGCTTATATAGCCGCCATGGCATTAGAGCCCCATCAGTCTAATGGCCTCTTTGTTTACCTAACTTAACAGTATATAAATTGAAAATCTAGGGTATAGTCAAAATTACCATTGAAAAGTACTTCAGGAAGGCGCACACTATTAGAAAATGACATATTATTGCTTGTTCAGTTTAATGTGACCATTTTCCCCCTCCACTGTGGGACTGTTGGTTTTGTCTGTTGAGTTACATATAATGTCCTTGGCTTAGGTCTGGGGTCATGTTCTATGAAAAATGTGTCTTTTAAAATACCAGAATCATATTCGGGAGAGAGCTGCTGACATTATGGGAGATGGGCATATTTTTTCTCTGGATTTAACAACCCTTCTCCTTGTGCTTGACTTGCATAGCAGTTGTGTGTGTGTGTGTGTGTGTGTGTGTGTGTATTTTAGAAGCCTCAAAATACAGAAAAGCCTTGCTGTTCACTGTGTTGGTGTGTGTTTGTGTGTGTGTGTGTGTGTGTGTGTGTGTGTGTGTTTTGTATGTGTGGTGTGTGAGCCAGTCCGTTACAAGATTCTACCTTTGCTCCTCATTGCCTAAGCTGGCAGAGAATTAGTGGACTCCTAGATAAAGAATAATCCCAATTATCTCTTAGTTTTGACTAATTGGAATGTTAAATGAGTACTAAACTCACATCTCCAAATTCTCTGTTTTGTCCACAGGTTGCTCGTGGGGGCCCCTCGGGCAGTGGCCCTCCCGCTGCAGAGGGCCAACAGAACAGGAGGCTTATACAGCTGTGACATCACCTCCCGGGGCCCTTGCACACGGATTGAATTTGATAATGATGGTATGTTCCTTTGCACTCACTCAGAATTCACTTGGCCAACTCGCCTGTACCCCACTTGCCACTAAAAGCCAGTTAAATTAAGAAAATGAAGTAAGGTATTTCCATTGTTATGTGAGGAAGGAAGAGAGGGTACAAGCATTTGTTCTTGGAGAGAGCCCTCTTTTTATTGCATCAGCCTTGACTGTTCCTTGTTTGCCCTGAAAAACATTTACTTTCTAAATCACTTTGGAAAGAGGACCCCCTTGCTGGTCCTCCCAACACTTGTTTCTAAACCAATATGGTGTATTGATGCTGCCACCTAGTGACATGCTGAGGTTCTGCAGGATGCCATTGAAAAGCTGAATTTAGAGCAGTGAAGAAGATTGAATATGTATATCTTTTACGTAGCAGCCAAAAGTTCTCATTTGCTGTTAAAATATTTGGGAGAAAGACAACTTAAATATCAGATCTTTCTGAAATGAGAGCTGACCAGCATGGATAATTTTTGTCCTACTCTCTCAGATAGAGGCTTGTTTTGTGAGGGCTGTATGTTGGCAGAGTACCGAGAAACTCCAGCCAAACCTAATTTGACATACTTGGTTTAGGTAGATTTGAAGATTCATGTTTATGTTCTTCTGCTTTTTCATCTTTTAGAAATAACATTTTTTCTCTCATTAAAAATAATACATGTTAATTGTGGAGAAACTTGTAAATGATACATCAACCTATAAGGAAAAACCTCGAAACCTACTGGTAGTTTAGACATAATCACTCTTTATTTAACATTTTGATGTTTTTCTTTATGTCTATTTAAAGTTGTTTAATTTTCATATCTTTGTAATGATTTAAGATTGGAAATTGTGCCTGCCTTCTCATTGAGGAAGGCAAATATTTGCGTACGTCATAACAGTAGGTTCAAATTAATACTGAAATGAGCACATAGTAGTGGTTTCTCTTTTTTGGGGGGAGAGGGTAAAAATAAATGTATCCCTTTCCTTTTTGGCAATGATAGAAAGATATAAAGTGAATCTGAGGCTTTGTCTTCCCATCCCCAGGAAGGAAAAGAACAGTTTTCATGCTGTCGTGTCACAAATTTGGGCGTATAGGCACTTTTCAGAGATATTGCAGGTTTGGTTCCAAACCACCACGATAAAGTGAATGTTACAATAAAGCTAGTCACACAAATTTTTGGTTTCCCAGTGTGTATAAAAGTTATGTTTACACTATATCATAATCTATTAAGTGTGTAGTAACATTATTTAAATTAAAAAAAAAAAACCAGTGTACCATATAACCTTAATTTAAAAAATACTTTATTGCTAAAAAATGTTAACCATCATCTGAGCCTGTTGGGAAAATGGCATCAATAGGCTTGTGCAACGCAGGGCTGCCACAGACATTCGATTTGTAAAAAACCCTGTATCTGTGACGTGTAGTAAAGCAAAGCACATTAAAACGAGGTATGCTTGTATGTAGAGAAGTGCCCGCTTTTTATTAGTTTGGATGGTAGTTGGAATTTGGAAACTGGATTTTTACATTGTTGCTTTAAGGGCAGATGTTAAAGGGCTAATCTATAGTCTTACAGTTTTCAAATACCCCTCTGTACTCAGGACCCTGTGTGTCAGAGAGGGTCAAGGGCCCCACCAGATAGAGCTATGTAGTTTATGTAAAGGATTTTTTGAAAGATTCTTACCAATAACCATTTACCTGTTTTTTTAAATAATTTTTCTGGATTGAGTAACTGAATTTACTAAGTAGCTAGGCTTGGAGTCAGGGCAATTTAGAAATCGTTTCTTGTATTTTTGTTTCAATTGGTTCTACTGGTTCTATCCATTGGTTCATTGACCGTTTCAGTCACTTTAAGGTCCTTACTATATGTACATAACCTGTGCTGCTTTCCACAGCCGACCCTTCATCAGAAAGCAAGGAAGATCAGTGGATGGGGGTCACGGTCCAGAGCCAAGGGCCTGGGGGCAAAGTTGTGGTAAGTGTAAGGAAGCACGTTCATTCCTCAGTGTCTTGAGTGCCTATGTGTGCCAGCACCTGGTTTATAGCAGTGACTATAACAGGCAGAGGCCCTGCCAGCATGGAGTGTACATTTTGGCATACTTACTTCTTTAAAGCAGAAATCGATCTCAAAAGGAAATCAAAGCATTGTTTTTCCTACGATTCCTGATATACTTTGAAACAGCCATACAATCTGCTTTTCTTTAGGACTTTCAGATTCAAAGAACTTGTTTAAAAAATCTTTATTGGATATCTCTAAAACTCTACATGGTCTTAAACAACAAAACTAGACATGGTCCCAGATACTATGTAGCTTTTATAGACAAGATATAAAAAAAAATATGGCAATGGTCATGGAAACTAAGATAATTTTAAACTCTCATTATTTATTCTGAGCCTCTTCAAATAGAAGTGGTAGCGAAGTTGAGAGGGCTCATTAGATGGATTATGCTGGATGGCCTTGGATGTGCCCCCAAGCTGGATTATGGTGCTCTTTCTGTGTCTCTTTCAAAATCTGGTTGCTATAACAAATGTATATAGAATTTTGAGAAAAATGAGAATTTTATTGAACATCAAATTTTGATATTTAAGGGCAGCATTATGGGAAATTGACTTGGATATTGTAAAGTATTTTCAGCCTGTGTCACATGGAGTGTAGCCATGAATACCTTATAATACTATAGAGATTTTTTCATCTCTCCCGGCAGTGTAATTCTCTTTGCTTTATAGAATAAATTTAATCTCAGAGTTCAGAATATAAATTAAGATTTAGGCTTATAAGGAAATAGTGTGGGTAAAAGGAAAATGTCTTCGTTTTAGCTGTGTTTGCCTGATCCCTATGAAAGTGCATTCATGATTTCTCTCCTGGAAAATTATTTTTGCAAACATACTAATTTGAAGATTTATACAGCCACTAAAATCCAGTTAAATTAAGAAAATGAAATAAAGTATTTCCATTGTTATGTGACAAGTAAATTTGCAAATCAATTGCTTGTGGATTATGAATTGGCATTCAGCATTTGGATTGGGGCATTATTCTCTGGATGAGAATAAGACTGAAGACCTAGTTTCTATATACTAGATAATGGTTTCCTTAGTGCCATTTTGGGAGGATTTGCTGGTTCTGGGTCCAGTCGCAGTATGAAGGCACATTTAACATCCTTTTTATTATTGGCAACTTTGTTGATTTATAATGAAAAATGTAAGGTTTGTAGGCATGACTGGGCTACTTTATGTTTGTAGACATGTGCTCATCGATATGAAAAAAGGCAACATGTTAATACAAAGCAGGAATCCCGAGACATCTTTGGAAGGTGCTATGTTCTGAGTCAGAATCTCAGGATTGAAGATGACATGGATGGAGGAGACTGGAGTTTCTGTGATGGCCGATTGAGAGGGCATGAAAAATTTGGTTCTTGCCAGCAAGGTGTAGCAGCCACGTTTACTAAAGACTTTCATTACATTGTGTTTGGAGCTCCAGGCACTTATAACTGGAAAGGTATGACGTGTATTTATAGAAATACAGATTAAAATGACTACACAATTTATATATACATATATATATATACACACACACACCATATATATATACATATATATATATACACACACACACCATATATATATATATACACACACCATGATTTAGTGCATTTTAAATTAAAATGCGCTATGAGGTACTTCTATATTATAGAAATAGGGTAGGATATTAAAATCTCTATATGATTTTTAAAAACAAATAATGGTGGAAATGTATATTTTAAGAGATTCTCTCTCTACCAGCAATTTACATTAATACAAGGAGTTAACTCTTTTTATAAGACTATAATAATTAACATTAGTAGTTTTTGCTGTTTTATATTTGCCTATTACATGAAGCTGAAAGTCTTAATTTTAAGGTAGCGATCTGAAAACTGAGCAGATCCGAGTGCTGTCTGTCATGTACAGATAGCAGCGTATTAATACAGACCTTCATTTTATTGTATATTAAAAGACCATATTTTGCTGATAGAAGGGTAGATAACAGATTAGGGAATTTTGAGATGATAATTTCAGATAATTCACATAAAAGTTGTTAATGCTACAGTTTAATTATTGTGATATAGATAAAAGGAGACACTGGGAGAGAGGAGAATGGCCCACAGTTTTTGGCTGGATGAAGTTGGTCAGCTCCTGTAATAAAAGTCTAACTTCTATGAAGAAATTAAGCAAGTGTAGACAACGACCGTATTATAAAGGACAATTAACTTTAATCTGTAATGAAAAAAATCCATTTGAAAATAAGACTTTTCGAGAAATTTATTAAAATAAATCCAGTGTTATAACATTTTTACTAGTCAGGAAAAACTTTGGAAAAATTTTCCTTTTCCGTTCAATAACTTCCAAGTTTTAATTCTTATTAGAAATGATTCTTGAGAACACCTTCCTCTGTATGTCATCCGTAGTAACCTCTGGGAGTAATATCCATTGGCTTCTCCACCCCCAATCAGATCTTTCACATAATGGTATTTGTCAGATTATTTTGAACTAATGAAAATAACACAATGAAATAGTTTTATTTTAGTAAGAATAGATGCCATACATAGTAAAACAAAACCATAAAACAGCCACCAATTATGTATGTTTTAATTTGTGGGAAACATGTTTTATCTGTTTTATAAACCCTGATTTAAAAGATTACCATTTTTTAAAAGTCACAAAGTGGACTTAATATGTGAAATCTTTTCGATGAAAATTTTAAAATGATGAAATCTTGGTTAAAATGAAGAACAGATTAAAATATTAAATTCATTTTCACACTATAATAAAGAAAAATTGATTTTGGATTGTAGAAAATGTAAGGTATCATATATCAGGTTCATATATTTTTTAAAAAATTCTTTTCTCTAGATTTAGTAAACCATTCCATTTTCCATTGGTTTGATGGCATTGTAAAGATAATTCATGAAAATGCATGGGACATTTTTTTTATTACTAGAACAAATTTCTTTTGTAAAAATTTACATGAACATGATTTTTTAACTTTAATAACTTCAAAAGTCATCTTTCTTTTCTGCCTTTTCTTCCTCTAAACTTTTCTTGCTGTACTCAGTGATAATATGAGAAATATTAATTAGGAACCATTTATTTTATTTTGTTTCATCTTTTTTTTTTTTTTTTAACCATTTCATTCCTTTAGGGATTGTCCGCGTAGAACAAAAGAATAACACTTTTTTTGACATGAACATCTTTGAAGATGGGCCTTATGAAGTTGGTGGAGAGACTGACCATGATGAAAGTCTAGTTCCTGTTCCTGCTAACAGTTATTTAGGTAGGAACGAGAGTAGATGATGGCATGCCTACCTGTTCCGATGCCTCTGTGTGACACTGCCCTCACAGGACCTTGGGCTTCTAGACTGAGGTGGAGCCAGGGGCCTGTGGCTGCATGTACTGGAATTTAATTTAATTTAGGCCTTGGTGATCCTGAGGTAATCTAACCGATGCTTGGGATCCTTCCCTTCTGACCTGGGCTCCCTCAAGTGAGGAGGAAATTTGCTGTCTCTTAAAATCACCTGTCCTCCACATGGAAGTCTGTTTCCTCAGCTAATGTCGCCCTCTGTAACCTGAACTTGGCCGTTCATGCAGCCCGGAGAAAGCATGCATGGGTGTTAGCAGGGAGCCAAGCTGCCTTCCCTCTCCCTTCAGCGCCTCTTTCTAGAGATACTCGTAAGAGCTACATTTATGAAGTTACTCTTAAGTGGCAGGTCAGGATCTCCAGGTCCTTTCTCTGTGATTGCCTTTCTCCAAGGGTTGGCCCTGCTTCTGGATTGGGGCCCTCATGTCACAGGGCCCCTGGCGGGTTGGCATGGGGGCTTTCCAGCTGCGGCTGGGCAGGACTGCCAAAGCAGTTTTGAGGACACCCAGATTATGTCTAAGTGCCCATTTCTTAACTCCTAAGGCTCGTTTGCATTACTAATGGGTGTCCTAAATTATTCATGTGCATTATGGTAATTACATAAAGGCTTTTAAAAGCTTTAATTCTTGGTATGAGTTGACATAAAGAATAATTACTGTGCATTTCTTGGAAAAAATGTAAAAAATCTCCTAAATCTAAATAGTAACCTCTTTTTTTAAAAAAAGTGTCTGTATGGTAGAGGTATATTACTGGAACAATGGAAGGTAAAAAAAGAAAAAATAGGTATAGCTATGAACATTCTAAATAATGTGTTAGTAAATACTTAAAAATTGTTCTAATTGTATAGATAATGTATGAACAGTACTATTAAATTTTTTTCAGGCAGTCCCTATGCCCCTAAATTAAAAATTTGGTGTGAAGGCATAGAAGAGGGAAGAAAAATGTTACACTTACCACTCATTAAGCATCTACCATGTTCTCTAAGTCACGTGCTATACTTCCCGCTTCATAGGTCTTATTTGATCTTCCCAACAATATTATAAAATAAGCATTATTGTTCCTCATTGCTGGGTGTGTAAATGCTGTGTTAGTAGTGGCTTTGCAGGACAGGAAAGGAACCAAGGGGCCAAGCAGTTTGCAATCTCAATGATTAAATATGGGTTTTCAAGGTAAAATCCTTTTCAAGGAAAATATTATCAACAAACCAGCATTTCATTTAAATATATTTTAACAGACAACTTCTTTTCAAATGTATTTAGGGATTAATTTATGATAAGACATTTAATTTTAATGGTTATAGGCAAGAAACCAACACTCGGTCTTTAAATAGATGGATTTTATAAACTTAGCTGCTATTGGAACATTTGATTATTAAATACAAGTTTGTGCTGTTATTTTAGTTGTTTGTGCATCTGTCATTTCAAAAAACCAGTGGGTTTTAGGAATAAAATAATCTGCTTGAGGTTTTGGAAGCTGGCAAAGAGAGTGGCTCGCTGGATACAGTGGTGGCCTCATCATCCAGCAAGAACGGTGGTCACCGTTGTGCCTCTTACTAAACATAATTGCTTTTTCTTCAATCTCTCTTGTCCCATGCATGTGTACAGGCCTGCTGTTTCTGACCAGCGTTTCCTATACAGATCCCGATCAGTTTGTTTATAAAACACAGCCTCCCAGGGAACAGCCCGGCACATCCCCCGATGTGATGATGAATAGCTACCTAGGTTCGTGACCTCTGAGATGACAAATAAATTGTCTTGGTCATGGTCATTTAAAATTTTTTTTGATCCATACAGAGCATAAATCTTTTTATTTTCTATTTCAAGTGAAGCAACCGTCAAAAGCATGCCACGGTGGAGGCTGCCAGATGGTTTTCAGAGCCGGATTCGATTATATCTTCCTATTCTAAATTTGTGGCTCATCTTATTTTTCAACTCACTTCACAGTTTGAGAACTGCAGCAGTAGTGGTGAAGCTTTTCATAAGTAAAACCCAATAAGAAGGGTGAGCTTATACTATTCTGCTTCTGCTTCACCTTTATATGGGAGTATTTGTTTAATTTCAATGGTCTTAATATGGGCATTTTTATTTGCTCCCCATCACATCTCTATTTGTGACCTGACATCTTATCTGATGCTTATAATTAGATATTCTAACATTTTCTGCTCTCCTGACAAGTATGTAATTGATATAGAAGACAACATGCTCACCTCTGTTGTTTATAGAGGTTCTCAAATACTGTATCTCATCAATCATGGTTTTGTTTGCATGTTTGTGTCTGAGAACTAAGTTGGTCCAAAATAATGAAATGCTGTCTGTGGTGTATCAACGATGTTAACTTTTATTCTTGCATGATTACCAAGGAGACTGATGAATATGGAAGTTATTAATCACTGCATTATAGCAGAACCCTATATCATGCACTCAGTGATGCTATTCTCAGGTTGTATCTGATGTAACTTTCCCATGGTAATTCAATATCTAGCTTGATCTCCTTTTACAGCAGTTCCAATATTAAAATAGAGTTCGAACTGATTCTTCTGATGAGTGAATGCTTCATGATTCAAGTTATACAGATGCTAAATAGCATAGGTTCTTTTCTTTAAGTCTTAACGTATTTCCACAGACAGCAGTGAAAGAGCCTACCACTTTGTACTTGTGTCACGTCTCTACTTAGTTCTGTAACTCTTTCATATCACAAGTATGATAGTTGGTGGGAATCAGAAAGAAAAGATAGTGATGGAGTTACCACTGTTTGATAGTTCCTGAAAAACGGAGTTGGTGTGAACGGTTATTTTGTTTTTCTAGGCTTTTCTTTGGACTCGGGGAAAGGTATTGTTTCTAAAGATGACATCACTTTTGTATCTGGTGCTCCCAGAGCCAATCACAGTGGAGCTGTGGTTTTGCTGAAAAGAGACATGAAGTCTGCACATCTTCTCCCTGAACACATATTCGATGGGGAAGGTCTGGCTTCTTCCTTTGGCTATGACGTGGCAGTGGTGGACCTTAACAAAGATGGGTATGAGTGTCTCAGTTTATTTTATTTTGTAAAGAAATCATTGCTTCTTTGGCTTCTGTAGGTCTTGAGAAGAGTCATCCTTTCAGGTTAGTTGATTCAAGGAATATTTTTGCTGTCAAACATTTACCCTCCTATCATATATCTTTATCACTAATATTTTGGCAGCAGACGTTCATTACCTTCCTCAGGGTGTAGGATTATAGCTTTTTTAGTTTACAGTTTTTATTCATGTCTTGAGATTATGGGTCTGTGAGAATTAAAATTTGGGGGGAAAATTTCTCGAAAAATGACAGCTACATAGTTCTGTTCTATAATTTCTTAAGGCGCTCTTGGAACATCTAGAATGTCCTGTTGAAAGTAGGAATTGTGAAAAACTCAATACATAGGTCTGGCTGGTGGTGTCTGTCTGGGTCTGGGGTGGAAGGTGGAGGGACTTGGAGACTTTCTTGGGAGTCTCCCCACACTGTAGATCTAATATGGAGAACTGGTTTCACATTCTTACCTTCCATATTTTCCTTTGGGCAATTATTACAAGCTACCTTGGTTTTAAAAGAATTATTTTAACTGATGAGATATAAATTCCAGAGTTGAGGCCCTTTCTATCATCTCTCTTTGTGTCCTTAGTACGTGGGCTGGTGGTGTTCTCCCCAAGCTCACTGTGTTAGCCAGTGGTTCACAGTTCTTCCCTTCATTATGTTTTTAGGTGGCAAGATATAGTTATTGGAGCCCCGCAGTATTTTGATAGAGATGGAGAAGTTGGAGGTGCAGTGTATGTCTACATTAACCAGCAAGGCAGATGGAATAATGTCAAGCCAATTCGTCTTAATGGAACCAAGGATTCTATGTTTGGCATTGCAGTCAAAAATATTGGCGATATCAACCAAGATGGCTACCCAGGTATATAATAAAATGGTTACGATTTTATGGGTAGATTATTTGAATAATGATGTCTTATGGCATCTTATTTTAAAACATTGTATCAAAACATTTTAAAAAGGTAATGTTTGTTAAAATGCGATATTGTCAACAGATATTGCAGTTGGAGCTCCCTATGATGAGAAGGGGAAAGTTTTTATATATCACGGATCTGCGAAAGGAATAAACACCAAACCAACACAGGTAATCCAGTAATGTAGATTTCTGTAATGGGGGGGTCTCAGCTTTTTGCCTTGTAATAGAATATTTAAGTTTAAGTGAATTTTCACACCAATCATGTTTTATTTATTTATAAATCAACAATAGTATGAATTTTATGTTTTAATAAATGTATTATTAGGAGATAGCTTGGAAATAGATATAAATGCAATGACTTGCTTGTTTTAATTATAAAATTTCTTTGCAAGTTAGAAATCAAAGGAATCGAAAGGAAAAGACTATTCTACCTTGACGGCATAGATAGAAATGTGACATATTTCCTTTAGTAACATAAATAGAGATGAAACCGGGCAAATGAGATGATTGTAATTGCCTAGAGAATTTAGACACCAAAAATTAAAAATTGCTTTTGAGAAAAGTAAGACATTTGGAGGGCAGGTAGAGAGGTTTGGTTTGAAATACCCTGATCAACTTAATAAAGTAAACAAGCTCATCAAAAACAGGCTCTTTTATCCTTTCAAGGTAAGTTAGGTGACTTTCATGAAACATGAAGTGTTGGATCATATGTATACTCATTTATTATTTAATATAATGTATTTATAAGTGAACTCTTAAACTTCAATTCGAAAGAAACTTGTGTGTCTTTTTCAAAGGGTGGTTCAGAGGCTTATTTTGGTGGCCCAGTGTCCATTCTGATGACCTGTTCTTTTCAGGTTCTTGAGGGTAATTCACGTTTCTTTGGATATTCAATTGCTGGAAATATGGACCTTGATAGAAATTCCTACCCTGACGTTGCCGTTGGTTCCCTCTCGGACTCAGTAACTATTTTCAGGTGTGTTATTGCTGACTTTAGTTAAGCATGTTCAACAGTGGGGTGCACTAAAATTTTTGACTTTTCGAATTGAAATTCGTCATGCCTATACTTCAAAAGACAAAAGCTTGTATGAATTTTAAAGATTTTTCTTTTGCGAGTAGTATAGCAATGTAATAAAAACCTATTTTGTAAAATCTTGCTAATTTTGAATCGAGGCAAAGATAGGTCAGAATTGGTGAAAATGGTTACCTCGTAAATGTATTTTAAAACCTTTATTTTGATAGAAACTAAAACATAGAAAATCTGACAGTACAAATAATATAGATAAGGAAATAAAAATACCCTATATTTCACCCCATTATTAAACTACAAAATTTTGGTTTTTGTAGTCTTTTATTTTCTGTGAATGTGCATGTATGTCTAAAAACTCAAGGTCATAATGTATGTATTGTTTTATAACCTGCTTTTGTCAGTTTGTAATGCCTAGTGGACTTTTTCCTTGTAATAAGTGAGTTTATAATGCATGGTGGGCTTTTCCTTGTCTGTCATTGAGTACTTCTCTGAAATGAAGTTAGTGGCTGTCTGTGAGGCATCACATTGCTGGATCGTAGTTCATTAACAACTGCCACACTCTTATTGGACATTTATGTTGTTGTCCATGTTTGGTTTTTTCCATGATATGCAAAGCTGTGGTGAACATCCTTACTTTTGTTCATGTTTTGGATTATTTATTATGTTAAATTCCTAAAAGCGAGTTGCTGAGTTGAAGGGACTGTGTGTTCCAAGACTTTGGATTCACATTCACCAGTACAATCTCCAGAAAGGTTATCATGGTTTGCCAGTCAGCTGTGTTTGAGTCTGCTTTTCCAGTGATTTCATCACTGCTGGAAATCACCATTAAAAATTGTTATTTTTTTGAAAGTCTTTTTTAGTTTAAAATCACATTCTTGTAAAAATGTTAATACAGAATTGCAGTAAGTGCAAGTTCCCCAATATTCCCATCTTTCACGAATCAGTGTTTAATAGTTTTGAGTATCTCTCTACTTCCAGGGTATCATCAAAAGGCCATACTGTAACTGCTCTTCTCTAATCTGGTTCTTAAAAATCGAATCTCTTTCTGTTCTCTCTCCTTGTCAGTATGGATTCGTCAATCTTGTTCTTTTAAATAACTTAATATCATTCTAAAATATGAACGTAATGAATCCTTGGTTGATAGGATTTTTCAGATAGTCTCTGACTTCTTGTACCAAAATGGGGTAACCAAGTCTTTCCCAGCAGATAACCTTTAGTTAGTTGAATATTTGCTTCTCTATGTAGTTGATACTTGAACATCCTTACTTTCCTGTCCTCATAAGTGGGTTTACTCTGAATCCTGTAAACTTGTTCCTTTTTTCCATATAGATAGTATGAAAGTAAAATTCAGAACCCTTTGATAATGAGAGGAAAATCCACTCCCTTATTTTACAAATTCCCTTATTTTGCAAAGGCAGCCCAGAAGTTGCTTAAGCTTTTAAGGCTGCATTGGATCCTGCAGGAACAGGGCGTAGCACCTAAATCTTCCCAACCTCAGTCCCCAGGCATTTTTCCCACAAAATCATACTAGAGTTTCCAGGTAGTTTATAAATAGGTGCCAATTAAACACAGGACAACTGGGCCAGTAAGATTTGCTTTATGTGTTAAAAGACACATTTTTCACTATTCATCGATATTGCACACTCAGAATTTTGTGTAGATGTTGTGTGTTTAAAACAACAAGTAAAAATAGGGTTTAGGTGGAAATGTGTGTTAAAATATTGCCCTTTGAAGTTTATGCCACATTAAAGCCTTAATACTATGATATTTAAAACACTAGCATCTGTGGCAACTGGTTTTAAAAGATTTGCAAATTTTTGCCTTTTAAATATGCTCTCAAAACTTCGAGTGTATCTAGTTAGTATTTTAGAAACTAGCAGCCTCCTAAATGTCAAATAACAGTAGAAAGGCAAATGAGATAAAAGGAGGTGAAGACACAGACTGTGGGCAGTGTTCACCCCTTTATTGGCTCCCACCTTCCACCTGAGTGTACTCATGCTCGCTCTAGCTCCTGAAAGATTGATTCAGAGGTTTTTGAATCAATTTGGATTGGAATTCAGGAATTCATTTTCCTGTCCACACCTTTCTCTGGGATGGCTGGGTTTACCGCAGGCCCACTAAAGTCAGTCTAACCGAACCTGTGTGGTAATGAAACTGTGGAACCCGTGCTGAGCTCTGGCTGAGGGGGGCGATGGAGGTGAGAGGCGCAGCGTCTCCCCATCGCACTCACAGCCCCAGCCACCATTTACTCGCATTTCTTGTACGGGTGGCAGAGGTCAGGTCACAGGCCCATGGTGACCCCTTTGGCTGTGGGGAGCAGGGGAGAATATATGTAAAGGAGAGAGAAGATGGTTTTATATGGTGAGAAGGGCCGAAGGTGTGGGATTCCAGCTTAGTGTTTGCGAGGTTGGGGTTAGGCAGAATAGAGATGGAAAAGGTTAAGGGATTCAGGGTTTTGCTTCCAGAGATATTGTGGGTGTAGAAAAGTTGTAGTCAGTCCTGGCAGCAGAGTTAAGGTTGGGGATGGGAGGTTCTGAGGGAGGATAAGGAAGGAAATGTTTGTAAAATGGAGACCTTTAAGTTTTCAGGATCGCCTGCGTTACTAAAATTCACGTGGATGTAGAAATCATGATAGTGGGCAGCCCAAGTGTTAGGCGTATGTTGGTGTAACCTTTTTGGAGGGTATTTTGGTAAGATTAATCTTAATTTAAAATGCACATATTCTTTGACTCAAATTCTGCTGCTAGTTATTTATCCTACAGATAAATTCAAGTGTGTGCTTAGATATATGTACAAGGATGTTCGTTAGATCCAAAAGCCTGAAAACAAACAACATAAATGTCTACTGATTACGGACTGCTTAAATAAACGAGGTTATATTGGTGCCATGCAACACCACATGCTGTGAAAAACAAGGAACAAGATTTATGTGTGTGGATCTGAGAGGACCTCTGAAATGTTAATGAATGAAAAACAACAACGAGCATGAAAAGCTCCCATTTCAAATAAGTATATATGTGTTTTTGTATTTAATTTTAGATATTTTTAACAGAAACACAGACTTTGGTATGTGTCTGGAAGGACACACAAGGCTTCTTGGGGGTTTACAGATGAGGACAGAGATACAATACTTGCTTGAAAACTCTGCAACTTTTACATATGATACATATTACTCTTTCAGTTACAAAACTCCAATATTAAAACTATAAAGCATTTTATAATTTTAAATAAATTTTATTTAAAAAATTTTAATATGAGGGGAAAATTACATGTGAGAACACTTTTTTCCTGTGGTTTCTGAGGTGTAGTATGAATTCATCTTATATTCAAAGTAGCAAAAGGCTGAGCTTGTATTTTACTCCTTTGTCTTCAGATCCCGGCCTGTGATTAACATTCAGAAAACCATCACAGTGACACCTAACAGAATCGATCTCCGCCAGAAAACGGCCTGCGGGGCCTCTAGTGGGATATGGTGAGGGTCCTGCTGTGTCCCGCAGTCCCCTGCAGTTTCACACCTCAGCTTTGTGAGGATCCTATTGGTCTGAGGAGCCACAGGGAAGATTGAGAAATGGGCAAAGGGAAGAGAAGCCACAGGGAAGATTGAGAAATGGGCAAAGGGAAGAGGAATCTATCAAGCGGATATATAACACTTTACTCATCAATGGGCAGCGGGGAGATTTGAGAGCTGGGAAACATATTGAGTTTTTTTCTACCGCAGTAATGCATCTTTTAAGAAATATATGTTTGATTTCATACAGCCTCAAGGTTAAGGCCTGCTTTGAATATACTGCCAAACCTGCTGATTATAATCCTTTAATATGTAAGTACCGACTACACTTAAAAATGATATATTTTCTATCTGCCAGGTTGAAAGTTTTGCACAAAGAAGAGAAAAATAAAACTGCAGTGGCCAGAATGGGTCCATAAATTACTGTTTAAGGAATTAAGTATAACCGTTGTCTTCTCTTTAATCAGGAGGGCGAAGCACATGAGGGAAAAACTCTCCTTTTGGTTCCCATTTGAATTTTCCAGAGCAGATGGTTTAGGACAGAATGTCTTGGAAAAGTACTCATTTGCTACCACACTGTTTCCTCCATTTCTGTCTTTGAAAAGCAGTGTGGAAAATTGGTTTTGTGGTTGTGAGGTAGTGGGTGACGGTCGTAGAAGAGTCTGCAGGAGGTGGAGCACTGCGCAGAAGTACTGCCAATTTATACTCTTTGCTCATCGGTCCTCTCCCAAAGAGGCCACTGTGGCCCTGAGTACCCAAGCTGTGTCCCCAGGTGCAGGCCTCTAGGGGGATGTGAAGCCTGGCCTTGACAATTCAGAGACTTGGGCCCCGCTGCTGGCTCTAGCTTTGATGGTGACGGACCCTACAACACAGAGCAAGTGCCTTAATTTTCGAGTTTTTATTTTCCCATTAGTTAAAAAAAAAAAAATGCCTCTAATAGCAATTAGATCTCCACTGTGTGGAGATCAAATGAGATAATGCGGTGAAAGCAGTTGGTGATTTATAAGGTATTGTTCTGCTTCCTCTTCTTAATAATCTGAACAGGATTTTTGCCCCTAATTTTGACAAGGCTAATGATACCCTAATAGTGATTATCAGTCACCAAGCCTTCTCTGGTTTGTTATGGGAGTGTGAGAATTTAAGGAAATTCTTTTACTATCCCAGAATTTGGCGAATAAGTCTTCTTTCACCCAGTTCACACTGTCATAAACCTGCTTAGCCTTCGTTTTTCTAGATTTCAACCCTTCTCAGGTGGTCTCTTCATCTCCCTTATCTTCATAGGCCCCTGCTGCTGGGCAGTGTCCTGCTGTATCATCTCTTCATGGTATCTGTGAACTTTGCATGAAGCATGCTTTTAATGTTGGTGTATTATGACTTTGCGAACAGGCGGAGCTGTACCCTTTCACTTTGCTTTTTGATGCATCTGGCATTTTATTGAGTATAGAAAACAATTCTTTGCGTGGCTTCTAATGCCAAGAGAACATCTTCAGTTATTTCTCATTGTCTGTCCTTCTTTCAGTATCATTTGTTATTTTTTATCCAATACCTTACACTTGCCTGCTTGGATCACAGGCCTTTCTTTTTCTTTTTTCTTTCTTTTTCTTTTCTTTTCTTTTTTTTTACCGTTCTATTTGGAAGTGGACTAGAGAGACAAGGAGAAAACTGTGATTCTTTGATGAGGCAAGGAGAGGAGATGGGGAAACATTTTTTTTCTTTTTTTAATTAAATTTATTGAGTGACATTAGTTAATTATATAGGTTTCACGTGTACGATTCAATAATACGTCATACCTATGTTGCATTGTGTTTTCACCATCCAAAGTTAAATTTCCTTCCATAGCCATATATTTGACCACCATTTTAATTCTGTTAATCTGTCGTTTTCTCAAACTACTCTGTCTGACTACAGATGTGAAATCTCATCAGAGCAGTCCTTGTCTCCCCCAAATCAATATTAATTTTATATTATAAAACTACTTCATTAACCCAAGTGTTTATTGATGGCCTATTATGGATAAACTTTTTTTCTCTGAAGTCATTTAGAGAAAACCTGTTTTTGTTGCCTGTATTTCCACAGTATTGGGAAATTCTAAATCAAATAAAACAGAACTTCCACAAAGCTGCTGCATAAGTCTGTTCCCAGTGGCTGAAAACGTGGGCCTATTGTTTGACCAGGCTGTTTTAACTCAGCCATCCTAGGACGTGGTATTCCATACATACAGATATTTATAATTGAGGCTTAATGAGTATTCTACTTGGCTTGCCCCTCAAAAGGTCAGCAAAGGTGGCCTGCAAGGATTTTAAGATGATGTGAACTGTCTGGAGGGTTAGGGAAGGTTAGAGTGGGTTTGGTAGATAAACGGTTTTAATGCACCCACACCCTCCCCTACTTTTGCTGTGAGGGGCACTCAGCATGTGAGCCTTTATCTGGTTCATTGTGAAGTTAGCAGGTCACTGATAAATGGATGATGTCAAGGCTATAGAGGGCCTAAAATGGAGGCACATTCCATTTGGCAGCCATGACATTTAAAAATTCTTTAGATGGACACAGAAATTACTATCGAAACTGTCAGTGTTTCTAAATTTTGGTCTCATACATCTGAAGCACTATCGTTTTGGCACATTGTGTGCTTTTGTGTGCAAATGTGCATAGGTGTCTATGTCGATGTGGTGCCAGTTACTCTTGCTTCTGTTCATCTATTCTTCAAATGGTATTTCTGTCAGGTGTTGTGCTGTGAACTGGCCGATTTCCCTGTTCCTGGCTTTTCCAAGGAAGATGGTCAGGCAGTTACTGTGCAGTGGGCTAAGTAGAATACTGTCAGATCCCCCAGGAGAGGCCAGGAAAGGCTTCCTGGAGGAAGTGATGTCCACGCTGAGATCTCAAGGAAGAGTAGAGTTAGCCAGGGGAGGAGGAAAAGGAGAGGGTCCAGCTGGCAGAGGGAGAGAGTAGTGACTCATGTAGAGGCCTAGAGGCAAATGGGAATGTGGACATCTAAGAAGCTTTACAATCAATTGTCTTTTGTGTTTGTGATAGAGATTTAGAAGCTGGTGCTGCCTCTGTCTGTCCCTCACTGTATGCCCCTGGGCCAGTCACCTGCCTCTATGGGTCTCCATTTCTTCATCTGCAGGAAAAGGGTATTAAAATAGATACTCTCAGAAGGTCTCTGTATTCTAAACTCTAATGTGAGTATTAAAACGTGGGTTGTTAAAGATTTAACTTTCTGCGTGAGGCTGCCTTCTCTGGCTCTGTACACCGATGGGTTTGCTTCCTCTTCTGATGGTTAATGAGTAATTAATGAATAAATAATTTAAGTATTTGCCTATAAAGAAACATAGTTAGCAGATACATCCAGCGAACTGGCAAAGAATGCATTCTGAAGTCGAGGAACGAGATTTTGATCATCAGGATCCTGGCTTGCCTCTAAGCTCCATTAGTCTAGGTAATCAAGAGCAGGGTGTGCTTCCTAGAGCTTTGGAGGTTGAAAATTTTGCTTGTGGGAGCTATGTTAGCTGACAGATAGGCACTCTAGCCACTGGAAGGAATATGTTTTACCTTTTTTTTTTTTTTTTAAGTGAAAAGTCTCATCCTATTGCAAAAAGACTTCTCCATCTCTAATATATATTTCTTTTTTAGACAACTATCTTTTATCAGTGCTTATTAAACTTTAATGTGTATGGCAACTTCCTGGTGGTGCTGTTAAAATGCAGATTCTGTTCAGTAGGCCTGGCTGGGGCCTGAGGTTCTGCATTCCTGGCCAAACTCAGGAGATGCTGCTGCTGCCGCTGCTGCTGGTCTAAAGACATTTTTTTTAGTTCATTTTTAAAAATTTATTTTCCAATCACAGTTCACACATTGTTTTCAGGTATACAACGTAGTGATTAGACATTTATGTACCTTATGAAGTGATCACCCTGATAAGTCTAGTACCCAACTACACCATACATAGTTATTACAGTATTATTGGCTGTATTCCCTGTGCCACACTTTGCATTCCCATGACTTTTTACAACTGGCAACTTGTACTTCTTAGTTCCTTTCACCTTTTTGAATATCAAAGCACTCAGTCATTTAAGCAGGGGCCTATTGGAGGAAGGGTCAGTTTAGGCCCTTAGGGAGTGTTGGGTCCTCGCCTGTTAGCTTTAGTATTCAGAGTTCCTGAAGTTCATCCAGAAAGTGATTTTAAGACAGTGCTCAGAGGTTTTGACTTATTCTCGAGCTCCCCCTGGTGGCCCAAGGAAAATTTAACTTTTAAGACACAACAATGGGCAGGAAAGGACTGCTTGATTTGAAATACTATTAATTCAATCAAAATGTACATTATCAGGAAACATGAAGAGAAACAATGGCAGTGGGAAAAAGTGTTCTTCTCGAATGAATTAAAATATTTTTAAAAGGAGGCCAGCATTCTTATAGCTGAACTGTGCGTGAATGTACTTTAAGTTTATGTGATTTCTGTCCATTTTACCTAGCCATTGTGGGCACACTTGAGGCTGAAAAGGAAAGAAGAAAATCTGGGCTGTCATCAAGAGTTCAGTTTCGAAACCAAGGGTCTGAGCCCAAGTACACCAGAGAACTAACTATGAACAAGCAGAAGCAGAAGGTGTGCATGGAGGAGACCCTCTGGCTACAGGTGAGGCCCGCAGCCAAACCAGTTTCTTAAAGGGGACAGAAGTCAGTTTTATGGTAGCATATGTAGATTTTTGAAATGTATACCAGCAACCTATTATTCAGTATGAAATAAAAGCATTGTTTTGGAGTTTCCCAATAACATTTATATCATACTTACTTAGATCTCTGCATACTTTTCAGGAAAATATTAGAGATAAACTGCGTCCCATTCCCATAACTGCTTCGGTAGAGATCCAGGAGCCAAACAGTCGGAGGCGAGTGAATTCACTTCCAGAAGTTTTTCCAATTCTGAATTCAAATGAACCCACGACAGTTCATACAGATGTAAGTCTTTCTGACTTTTGCTTTTTTATGGTTTTGGCCATATTATTATACTAAATCAAATGTCTTTGAAGGCAGGAGGACTAGTGATTTGTGTTAAAGGCCATTCCTTTGTATTAAATAAGCTTTTTAATATAAGCAAAGTTTGTTTGAAGATTTGTTTCTCAAATTAGCAACAAATATAGAAAAATAAGGAATATAATTTGGAGCCAGAGAGTATTTTTCTTAATAAATGTTGGCCACCGCAATTTATCGAGACTGTAATTTGTGGAACTTCTTATTCTCACATCAAGTTTCTCTTATAGCTGTATGTAGAAAGAATAGTACATTGTTTGTTTGTTTGTTTTTACCATTGAGAACATTAAGATGTAGAAAACAATCGTTTGAACATTAAAATCAAGGAATATCAAAATTCAGCACAGCGAAAAAGTATTAGGAATGAAATAGTCATTTAGTGCCAAATGTAGTCTATGTTGTCTTAGAAACAAAAATTTATGTTACACGGCTTGCTATATAGCCATGAAATGGGGTCTGTTTGCTAAGGTTTTGGATGGTTGAGATGTAAGATTAGGCTGGGGAGCTGTGGCATCTTGATTTAGCAATTTGCACTTGCTGTCAAAAATTTAGTTGGTGCTGGAAGTTATCTAGCCCGAGATTCCCAGTTCCAATGGCTCACTGACAAAGCTTGTCAGAAGTGAGTACTTGCTGTATTAGGCTTAGAAGCTGATGCCTAAATCTACACGTCATCAGCCTTTAGTGTCACCAAATATAGTTCCTCATACTTTTTTTTTTTTTAGGCGAGGCAATCCTTGCTTGACCTCACAGATTGCAAGGAGCTTGTCAGCTTACAATCCCTTATTTTTTATTTTTTATTTTTTATGCCTATATCACCTGGTCTTCCTAGGTGGTCACCCATCCAAGTACTAACCAGGCCCGACCCTGGTTAGCTTCTGAGAGCAGATGGGATCGGGCTTGTTCAGGGCGGCATGGCCGTAGACAGTTCCTTATATTTTTGATGTTACTATCTTAGTAATATTTTTTGTGTATATTCCCAGCTCTGTAGTCATGTTAAACATAATAGGCAAGGAGACAGTTTTCCTAACGATCAATGTGGTTATTGAGCACCCATTAGCACTGTGCTGGATATTCTGTGCCATTTGCTTTCCTGACCTTAAACTCTCTTTGTGAGATAGAGAGAACATTAGATGCATGCCAGAGTATGTTTGAAGCTTGACTTCTGCTATGGTAATTGTCACACAAGGAAATGAACTATATGGAAACAGCTAGTCACCTAAATGGCAAAAATTACCACAGTTTTGTTTTTCTACAGGTGCACTTCTTAAAAGAGGGATGTGGAGACGACAATGTGTGTAACAGCAACCTTAAACTAGAATATAAATTTTGTACTCGGGAAGGAAATCAAGACAAATTTTCTTATTTACCAATGTAAGAATCGCTCTGTAGCACTAGCAAAAATGACTCTGGCTTTGCAGTGGCTTTTGTTAAAAAAGGGTTTATTGAAAATGTATTGAGGACTTTGTCATTTTTCTTTTTTTTTTTTAGTAGTCAAAAAGGTATTCCAGAACTAGTTCTAAAAGATCAGAAGGACATTGCTTTAGAAATAACAGTGACAAACAGCCCTTCTAACCCAAGGAGTCCCACAAAAGATGGCGATGATGCTCATGAAGCTAAACTCATTGCAACTTTTCCGGATACTTTGACTTATTCTGCATATAGAGAACTGAGGGCTTTCCCTGTAAGTATATTTAGAGAGCAGCTAAGAGGAAAAATCAGCGCTATGAGAAGTGAACGTATTGTGATCTAGTGTGTGTTTTTCTGTTACAGGAGAAACAGTTGAGTTGTGTTGCCAACCAAAATGGCTCACAAGCAGACTGTGATCTTGGGAATCCTTTCAAAAGAAATTCCAGTGTAGGTGATGCCTTCACATATTATATTTTACTATTTTAAATACCGTTATGATGTCGATGTGGTTGGCCTGTGTTAATGACTATTTTTATTTTTTAGGTTACGTTTTACTTGATTTTAAGTACAACAGAGGTCACCTTTGACACCACAGATCTGGATATTAATCTGAAGTTGGAAACGTAAGAGTTGTTTCAACCTTTCCATTCAGAATTATTTCATGAAAACCTAGCCAGTCAATGAATTGGCCCCGATCTAACTCATAAAAGAAGTGTAATTGTAATGAGAAAACTGTTAAAATAAAACCCTATTGTTTCCTTTTCATTTTCAGAACAAGCAATCAGGATAATTTGGCTTCAATTACAGCTACAGCAAAAGTGGTTATTGAACTGCTTTTATCAGTCTCTGGGTAAGTGTTTGTGTTTAGCATAACAAATCAGTGTTTGAAAGAACCATTTAAAATCCTTACTAAAACTGGTATTTTTAAATTTAACAGAGTTGCTAAACCTTCCCAGGTATATTTTGGAGGCACAGTTGTTGGTGAGCAAGCTATGAAACATGAAGATGAAGTGGGAAGTTTAATAGAGTATGAGTTTAGGGTAAGTTGCAGGAATTGGTCCTTTTATTGTAATAAGATACCGGAAGCTAACAATATACTACATTTGATCTTGAATATGTAATTTTAATAAGTAATAATAATAAATAAGTGTGATAGATGCTTAGTTAAAAGTGAGTTTGCCAGTTTTAATCAACAT